GTGTTACTGTTATGTATTTCCCAGGCACATAGTTCAATTCTATTCCACAATCAACTGTTACCTTCAGTTGTTAACATTTATCGTAATAGGCTAAATACCACAACTAATCATGATTAATTTTTTTGCCAATATTGCCCAACACTAGGAACTAGGTTCAAAAAGGCGGAGCTTTGTAGCAGCAAATGCATAATTAGCCAACAATTTAAATAAAGTTCTTTATTTGAACCAGAATTGTACAAGACATATAACTTACTGAAAAGTATTATAGCCCTCTGGATATTTGGCCTTGGCTAAACCAGAATGATGAACAGAGAATAATGATGAACAGCAACAATATTACTAGTATTTATTAAAAGAATGTAGCATGACGGGCCTCTCTTCCATGACTTCCTAACCCAACAAGTCATGGTTCCTCTTGAACTGACCTCTGTTCTGAAAAACCTTTCTTCAAGTCAAACTCTGGCCTAACTTTTCATTAATCTGTCCTTCTGCAGATCAAGCTGACACAACAGTCTGTTTTTGTAACTCATTATATATCATTAATTAAAAGAATCATTACATCATGTGACATGATTTTTCCTTTTTACAAGGTATACCTCAAGTGTTGATCTTACTGAAATATTTGATATGAAATGTCCTTTTAACCATGCAGTTTAAAATGTAACTGTTTGTCTTTTCATAAGCAGACATCTACAGTTTTCTCGGCGCCACTATGTCGATAACGAAGTACAAGTATTCCCAAAAGAAATACAATGTGACAGCAAGTTGAATTGTTTTCTGCTTCATGGCTTTTGTTCCTCCCTCTGCCTCCAAGCTAATCCATTGTGCTGTGAGTGGCATAATTCATGAATTGGTAAACTTTGTCAACCTAATGTAATAAATTCACAAGTAAGAAATTTACTGAGTTACGTGTTTTATTTGGTATACACAGTGCTGCACTACAATGGTATAATCATATTGTGCACAGTAAAGCTTCACATGGTTATAGATATGTGAACTGAGGGATGATATATTAAATAAATAAGTGATTAGACATTTTGTATTTATCTTAAACTCAAGCTTACAGTTATTTCTTGTTTTCTATTCTCCAAGGAGGCTTCCAGAGATCCAGGACAGGTAGGTACAGGTGAGGCGTGCGAGGCTGATCCAGGGAAGGTGTGTAAAACGGGATCAGAGGTGAAGCCGACTGGGGGGTATTCCAGGAACAGAGGTAACTTACACAGGTAGGCATGGAGTGGAGCAGGAAAATCCAGTTCACTTCACTAATCTACTCACTGAAGTGATCCGGTGCACACCCCACCACAAAAATAATAAATGACTAAATGTGTGAGTGTGTGTACTGTTAACATTCAGCGGAACGCCCACGTGCCATTTTGTATTTGTTTTATTTTGAAGTATAATATCTGTTTCCTGTTCCGCCTGTGTCCATGTGAAATGCATCAAACTTGACGTCTAGGCCCTCCTCTTTTGATTGGCACCTCATTTGACCAACTGGGTTCAAGTTTCGGCTGTCTAGGGCCAATATCATCTCAGTAGTGACCAACTTCCGGTTTTCGTCTTTCTAGCTTTGACTGACAGTAAAATCGGCCAATCAGCTACGAGCTTTGTTCTGATGCTACAACTGTGTAGCCAATCACTGTACCTTTCATTTAATGTACAAGTAGAGGGGGTGGGAACTTTGTTAGTGACGGAAGAAGATAACACAATGGAGGCGGCCATATTTCGGCAGTGTTACAACGCTAAGGAAGGCAGCTAATGCTCACAGGAAAATGTTGTTTTCCACCGTTTTTTGGCCAGTTAGCTGACGAAACATGCTGATAAGATGAAAATATATTTATTAAGTGCTTTGAGTGCTTCAAGACATGGAAAAGTGATTTTGTGGCCAAGAAAAGTAAAATTATTTGGATAAAAAGACTTCCGGTCGCTATTTTGAATCGCTACTTTGGACATGGAATGTTAATGCAATGAAAGATATAAAGATATATTGTTTATTCTTGCGGTTTGGCTGGTTATTGGTGGAAATTTGGCTGAAAGTGCAGTGTTGGTGTAAATATTAATGAATATTAATATGTTTTTTAATTTAATCATGCTGTGAGTAAATATGGATGGTAGAATGTGTTTTGTGGGAGTTACATCTTTAATTTGAGCCCTGAGTGAAGTCCCTGTGTTGAAATTAGAGTGTTTTAGACAAGTGTACAGTTTGGACATATTTAAATGAGTACAAAAACGCAAATGAGACATGCTGGATTTTACTGTGTGTCAAATATTCACATTTTAAGCTACTGTTACCTAATTTGAACTGGTAATAGTTGAGAATTAATATTTTAGCCCAGTAAAATTTGTTTGAAAGTATCTCATTCCCTTCCTATTCTGTGACACTTTTAATAAAAAATAAAAATTTAGGGAGAAAAATATCTTGAT